GTGGTCCAATATTCAAACTACTACACAAGGCAGGATAGCCCTGTCTAAAATGACTTTTATACTCATTACAGTATCAGATTTGTTCTTTATTTACGCATTAATTGCATTAAAATTCACAAAAGTTTGAGGTAATTTTACAAATACTGATTACCATGCAACATCCTTTGTAAAAAGGTGATAGATCGTCACCTATTTAAAGGTTTTAAGGACCCATACTTTTCAGTCCCTTTAAGCTCTTTACAAGTTTATCATCCCCTGCACACTGCTGGAGATCTATAAACCCACTCTTTTCATAGTTAAAAAGAACATAATGAGATTAGATTGAAAGCCAGCAAATCAACAGTTTCTCAATGGATATTCGAAATTCTAATTAGAACAATGTCATTGCTATTAGGATTCCATTTTTCTAATAAGCCTGGAATGTGATTATTTTTCTTTCTGCTCTAGCCAGATAATTAACTTCTTTCAGCATATATTTCACAATGGTAACAATTAAAAATTATAATCATTAAAGGGCTGTAAAAACATATTAACACAGAGTTTTTCAGAGCATAATTATAAGAGACATTCCAAAAATTATTCTCTAAAAAAAAGAGATTAATGAATAATAAGTACCTAAAAAGGAAGCGATTATATATGATTCCCAGCTAAAAATGAGTAACTGGTACATTTGGGGAGCACTTGGAAAGTGTTCCCTCATTACATTTTTGGGCATTAATGATAGGCAATAAGACATTAAATGATATTGGATATGAGAAACCAGGTGTACAGAAAGAAATAGACTCAGGCTTTAAAGTTGATCACTTGAAAGTAGGGGTTGTTTGTTGGAGGTTGTAAATGTAAATAAACAGAAGCTTTATCACAGTTTCTGAACCAAAATATACCCTGCAGTATAATAATGTGTCACTCAGATTGTGTAACAAGTAACAGTAACAGTTACTTTACTTCAGTTCAAACAGAGCAACAATATATACAGCAATCTCTCTGCCATTCTTACAGAGAACAAAGGGAATAAGCAGTCCTTTTAAACAGTCTTTAAAATATGCTTCATGCCTTAGAAATAATCAGGCTTCAGAGAGTCGGCATTTCCTTCCTGGCTGTTTCCAGTCAGCACTCCCTTCACTCAGCACTCTCTTCAATATCCGAGGTGAAAGTGGCAGTTAAAACCGTTCATCTCTGTAGCAAGCCAGAGACAGTAGCCAATCTGAATTCTAGCTCCTGGCATGCTCAGCCAATCAGCTGCTGACACATTTCTTTCCAGTCAACCCATTACATCATGGTGCCTTTTTACAAATCCCCACATTGTTCACATCTTCACTGGGCATTTTTGCCAATACAATCTGCAGTATCACCACCATATTTGATCCATGTGAAACAGTCATTTAAGCAGGCTTTCGGTCCATTGAAAGAAGCCAAAATAAAAGGATGGAAGATTGTGATTCATATAGACAACTGTCAAGGGCAAAAAAAAAAACAATCTTTAATCAACATTAATAATTAGAAAAAGAGAACAAAATCCTGACTTTACTCTGAAGGCTGAGACTTGTTACTGACTTTAACAAAGCCAGGATTTTACACATTAAGATGGAGTGATACTAGACCTTCTTCAGTTCAACCCCATTATTGTAGTTGGTGCTCCTGGAGAGCCCATTCTGAAGAAATGATTGCTTGACTGATAGACTGAGTAATCAAAACATATTTTGATAGTGTCAAACAGAAATCCAGACTGGGATCCTCCATTATAACAAGGTATGGCCTGCCTATGAGTGGATACAATTAGCTGGAATTCAAAGAGGATTTTTCGTATGTTTAAGTGCAATCCAAAGTAATCAAGAAAGAAAACATCAGAAAAGAAATGTAGAATCAACATGAAAATGCGACTACAAGTTAATCACTCTTCTTCAGATGACAAATAAAATATTGAAATACGAAGCCAGTAACTGCATGCCTATAGCACAAAATAGCAGCAGTATTATGGAGACTGTTAATCAAATAGTTGGCCTTGTGTGGTTTTATTTTGATATCTGTTTTAAATGTGATTTTAACTTTTTTTGAAGAACGTCTGTGATGTGTTTGCAGAACCCTAGAGTTTCACAGAACACAGTTTAGGAAACATTGAACTGGGGAATATCATATTATAGCTAAATCTGAGCTTCTAGCATGCATGGAAAAGTTATTAAATTTTCCTTCCAGAAGAAGAGCTGGATAGAGCACTGAAAAACACACACATGAATGGCTTTTTGTTGATAAGGCAATATGGTGGCATCTGCAGATATGATTTGGTGCAGAAGTCCTGCCTCAGTGATACACAGAATACTGCAAGTTGTTTCTGGTGTAAGAGAATCCGCCATCTACAAAGACGTTGCCCAGGGTTTGCCCAGATGTGTTACAATCCTAAGAGGAGGCTTCTCTCATCCTCTGTTCAGATATCAGCTAGCATGCCAACACCTGAAATCAAGAAACAGATTTCTAAGATCTACAGACATGATCGCAGGAACACTTCAACAAGCGAGAGTCCAAAAGTGGCAAGTCAAAATCTGGAACCTCAATCCATGGCTGATACTGGATGAGAAACATCCTCCTGGGCACACAAAAGACTGGGCGACTTGGAAGGCACTGAACCGACTGCGCTCTGGGACCATAAGATACAGAGCTAATCTTAAGAAATGGAGCTACAAAGCTGAGTCTGCAACATGCAAACCACAGATGCAAACCACAGACCACCTACTACAGTGCTGTCTTGGAGCCCTGCCACATGCACAATAGTGGATCTTCTCACAGCGTCACCAAAGGCACTCCCAAGTGGCCAGCTTCTGGTCAAAGATAATTTAGTATAACACCAAGTTTTAATTTGTTTTTTGTTTTTTAAAAAAACCATTATAACTGTACCCCTAAATAAATAAATACATAGAATGCTGTGTTCAATCCTTCTGTTTGATATCCTGGTCGCCTGCCCCGCTCTTTCTTCCCATATCTGCTTCTCCTCTCGTAGGCTGGACTTCAGAAGCTGATTTTGTATATAGCACTGAATATTAAGGGATTTGACGAGATATACTTGGCTGTCGTGGAAAGGAGCAGCAAAACATCCAGCCCTGTTCAAGTGACAGCACACATGAAACTACAGAAAATCCTCTGGAGTATTGGGCAATCTGACATTTCTGTTTTATGTGAATTTATCTTGCGATGCATTTTTGCTTTTTCCCAGGACTATGGAAAGAAAATGATAAGTGGCTATGCACTGTAAATAGTCATAGCTGTTGCAGGTTGGTATTACTTGAAAGTGCAGAAATGGGAGTCAGGTTTGAAAACTAATTCCAATTATGTAGAAGGAGGGAAATATTTAATATCTAAATGTAATATCAATTTAGCGACTAGATGGACATTACCTTATGTATAATCTATATACAATGCCATTGCATCTTGATTTTGTATAAGCACAGTTGTGCTTTGTCAAATGTTGCACAAAGGCAGAAGCACACACAGTCACATCAAATAAATAAGGAATGGTCTAATTTTTTCCAGAAGGTGCATTACGTTTAAGAACGATGGGATGCCCAAAATGTGGCTGTGGACCTCAAATGGCTGTAATCATACTTTTTTTATTCTCACAGTAGGGTTTCCAAGTGTCCTGTTTTCTATAAGATCCCCTGTAATTGAGGTTATATGAGGTGTCCCAAATACTGCATTGCTTCATTTGTTGGGAACGGACATACTGCATGTCTGGTGTCAGTGATGAACTGGATGAGGATGAATAAATTGATGCTTAATCCAGACAAGACATCTGTGTCATTTAAAAGATGGATCTGAAAATCAGTTACACTTCTCCCAAAGAGACAGGTTCAATGTTTGCATCTATTCCTGTACTCGAGTATTGAATCCAGAGCCGAGAAACCCAGATTTCTCCAATGGTATGACAGCTGCATTATTTTCCTGGAAATATTTGATCTAGGCACAGTGACACACGCCATAATTACATCCCAGTTGCCATAGTACAGTCTACATGAGGCTGCTTTGGAAACATCCAGAAAGTTCAGCATGTCTAAAATGGGGTGGCCAGTCAGTTGACCAATAGCTTCACCAGCTGCCAATCTGTTTATGGACACAATTCAAAATTACTTTAGAAATACTAAGAGGTTTGAGTCCAAATTTTCTGAACATTTCATATAAGCTTTACTAAGATTTGAGATCCCAAGGAAAGTCTTGCTTTTACTATTATGATAGACACTTGTGGTAAAGACATGTGAGACTTCTTAGTGGCTGCTCCCCATTACTGTCCATAACGACCTCATCATATGGGCTGATTTACGTGTCCTACATCACTTTTCATCCCCTTTCACCATGGAGACTTTCCTATGATGCACACCAACTTGCAGCCGGGCTCCGTGGTGAAAGAGTAGAGGAAGCGGCGCTCACCACTGCCGCTACAAGACGGCAGGCTTCCCGTGTTGCCTTAGGAGCAATGGGGGAAGCCAGCTTCCCCCATGGGATGGAGGTCAGGGTAAGTTGTGCGATGTGGGGCATGGAGCAATGGGTTTTCCACACCCCCTGCCAGGACCCCCATGGGTTTGCCACGATGCCTGGCAAATCTGCAGCCTAATGTGATGAGGTTATTAAGGATGGCTCAGTTGGCCTGTTCTCTTCTCTTCTGCTGCATGCAGGCAAACATTTTCATTTAGGCAGGTTGTTGGCCATTGGCTGAGAATGGTGCTGTCATTTTAAACTGTTCTTCATCTGTTGGTTTTTAAGCGTGTTTAATAAACTGTTTTGAAAAATGTATTGTCATTTTAATACGTTAGTTAAATTAATTGCTTTCACTATTTGTGTGTGTGTGTGTTTAGTTAAATGCTGTTGTAATTCTTGGGACCTGTAATGGAAGAAACGTGAGATATTAAGGAAATATGAACTCTACCTTAGCCAGCACAGGAATGATTAGAGCAGCAGTCCAATAACTTCTGATGGGACGCACATTTGGCATCCTAATTTTATGGCTTTATTTGCAGAAAAGAGCAGAATTTCATGTAAGTGTACATTCCTTGGATCCAGGTTCAATTCCTGACATCTGCAGGTAGGACTCAGAAATATTGTCAGGTGATCCTGACAGCCAAGCACTGAACTCTTTCATTCTGTTCACAGGGGAACCTTTGCTGATGTCAACAAAAGCACACAGCAATAACCAGGAGTGCTTCCAGAGCTCACAGGCCAGCTGCCATAGTGACAAAATGACACAGCTTTGATCCATCTCCTTTTCCCAGAGCCACTGTGCACAGGGAAAGGGAGATGGCAATGCTGGCTCATGTGGACAACAGACCAATTTGCTTTGGAGACAGTCTGTTGTAGTCTGTTGTCTACACCTAAATTCTGGAGCATTCCCTGACTGCATAATGTGAGGTTAAACCAGGCTAACCTGTATTACCTTGCATTATGGGCCAGAGGTTCCTGGGTGTCGTTTGGATATCAAAGTTCAACCTGTTCCAGTGCAGGGTTTATTTCCCATAATAATAATAATAATAATAATAATAATAATAATAATAATAATAATAATAACTATTATTATTATTATTATTATTATTATTATTATTATTATTATGTCAAACTACTCTGGGACTTCTGAATTCAGATTGACAGAGTTTTGGATCACAAGACTCCTGACCTCATGATCATGTTAAAGAACCAAGTATGGATCGTCGATGTTGCAATCCGAGGCGACAGCAGGATTGAAGAGAAACAATTGGAAAAGCTGTCACGATACGAGGATTTAAAGATCGAACTGCAAAGACTCTGGCACAAGCCAGTAAAAGTGGTCCCAGTGGCCTGCACTTTAACACAATTGGCGCTAACAAAATTACCATCTGTCACCTGCAAAAGGCCACCCTACTGGGATCTGCATGGATTATTCACCCATACATCACACAGTTCTAGACGCTTGGGAAGTGTCCGATGTGTGATCCAATATAACAGCCAGCAGAGTGACCTTGTTTGCGGTGTACTAATCTTTTTGTGTTTCAAATAACAACAACACCTTTATTCTTCTATTCTGCCACCATCTCCCCGAAGAGACTTGGGGTGGCTTACATGGGGACCAAGCCCAGCCAACAAAGTTAAAATACAGCACAGTAAAATATATTGCATTACAAAAAAATTAAAACAAAAACCATACAAAACATCATAAAAACATAAGCCATCAACAACCAGAGGCTAAGCACAGTGGTTGTGTTCAGAGCTGGGTGGGGCAAGGGCTTGTGCAATATAAATGCCGGGTGGTGCTTGTAATAAAGTGCAACAGTCAGATGATTATATTAGGGCTGGAAGGGCCACATCAACTGATGAACTGATTAATCAACTGCGCATTGGAACATCCAAGTTTTCAGGTCTTTGCTAGTCATCCACATCTAAAACTTTCGCATTTGCTGGTTACTTTGCATGTCCCTCTCCTCTAGATGCCTACACTGCATTCCTGAATGTTCAACAAAGGTTTTAGTTGCTGCAATGTCAGAAGATTTCGAATGGAAATTTCATTTGGGTTTGCACATTTCTTTTCAGAAGGCAATGTCTTTAATTTGCTCCCAGCTCTGTACCTATTCTCCTTTAGTTATGCATGAAATGACACTTGTGAATATCTTGACCTTCAGATTGCGCTGAAATGCCCAATCAAATTTTATTAAATTATTTTAGGAAAGGTAGTGTCATCCTATTTGTTGGAATGGATAGAAACCAATTGACTTAGTCCTTAGTCACCCTGAATATGAATTAACTATGATGGGTGCTATTTGTTTGGATCACAGTTTCTGTTCATACAATATTTTTCGATATAGTGATACTATACCACTTTCTTTTGATTTCTTTGTGTAATTCCTTTACATCTCAGTAGAAGTATTAAAAAGAAGAACTTTCAGTACTCTTTACTATTAACTCATTTCTTTGGAAAATGCTGTTGCTAGACCTCAAAGGAGTGTTCAAAAATGAATTCAAATAACCTGAAGGTCAACAGCTTATATTCTATTTTCGCTCGCTTTTAGTAAAAGCATATGATTTCAACCTCTAAAATTGGTACTCAGCCACTTGATCTCAGGCTCTTTAACATGTTCATAGATAGGTAAAGTTCTTTTCCACAAGGAAAATATGATTGATTGTTACAATGACAGTAATTGCATTTTAGCAAAAGTAACTATTATAGTAATTTTCTTCAGGAAAGAGACGTCTAACTAACTTAAAAAGCTCAACACATTAACTTGGGCAAATTTATCACAAAAGACTTTTTAAAAGTATTCATAGATTTAACAGTCAGTTCAGTTCTAAAGTGTTTTAATGCGGTGTATCCCATTACTATTAAATACCAACAAGAACAAAACTCTCAGATTTCCCACTTTCTTCCAGATCCCCCTTTTAAAATCTCCATACCTTAATCACACTTTATTTTTCTTTCAGTTACCCTACCATTGCCTCCTTCGATTGGCACCCAACATGAAGATGTACCAAGAAACTGGATAGCTGCCAGCTAGCTGGTAGTGCAGGACATCAATTTTTGACTTTATTGTTGTGCTGGTCAGTGACTGTAATAAAGTTTTGTTGATGTTGGTTTTGGTGTTGTTGTTGACTTTATTGCTCTTACCTATCATAAGGAGCTAAAAAACAGAAAACATGGGGTTCTCTAGATGTTCTTGGACAGCAACTTCCATGTTCCATTGTCCTGTATTGACTAGTGCTGGTATCACTTCCATTACAATAATATCAGGAGGGTCACACATCTCCCCTATCTGTCATACTCAGCAACAATGCAACTTTGTGGGAATGCTTCTATCTGCCCTTTCAATTCACCATTAGTTGCCTTGCATTTTCCACCACCAAAGGCATAGGGTTTCCATTTTCCCTTTGCAGCAGCTGCTCTTGCATACAAGTGTATACAGCTATAATACAGTGATATCATGTCCAGCATACACATGAAGAGGGTGTGGCCAACAAAGTATCTGGTGTCTTTCTCAGTGCTACTTCTCCTCCCCTACTTTGGTCCTACACTTCAGGAACAACCTATGAGGAGTATTTCACTATGTTGATTGCTTACAGAGTAGATAAAGGTAAAGGGTTTCCCCTGACATTAAGTCCACCCATGTCTGGGAGTTGGTGCTCATCTCTAAGCCGAAGAGCCGGCGTTATCCGTGGACACCTCCAAGGTCATGTGGTCGGCATGACTGCATGGACCACCATTACCTTCCCGCCAGATCTACTTACATTTGCATGTTTTCGAACTGCTAGGTTGGCTGAAACTGGAGCTAACAGCGGGAGCTCACGCTTTTACAGAGTAGGGCAAGTTATACAGGGAAGCCTGTTGCATAGTTTCATAAAGCCTAATACTCATGAGACAGATTGTTTCTCATTTTTGTACATTTTGTCAGGAAATATTAATTATATGTAGTACTACACTAAACAAAAGAATGAGTCCACAGAACCCAACACTGTTTGAGACTTCTTGAATTTCTTTATCCCCTGCATCTCCTTTTCGGTTTCTGTGATGTTTGCTGAAACCTGAAGATGGGGATAGTATTTTGAAAAGAAAATATATGAGTTGCTTTCCAGCTATAAAACAGTAAGAGCTATAAATCAGTACATAAATAAATGTGGGAATCAGAGATGCAGACTTTATATATGCATCATTACAACACAAGTGGATTGATGTAAGAAGGTGTGCAGTTAGGGCAATTAGCGTTTCTTTTCCCCTGAAAGAGCAAGAGAAACAAGAGAAAAACTGCAGGCACCTGGGAAGAAACTGGGATAGATGTTCAATATATCACTTCATTCCCCTTTCCATTTTTCATGACCTTCAACCTTACTGTGAAGCAAGAGCATATGGGTAAGTTAACAATATGGAAGAAAGTATATAATCATACAGCACAAGTACAGCAACTTGTCATATAGGAGCAGTCATCCTGAAGATGGAAGACACAATAAATCATAATAATGTTCATAAGATAGCAATGAAGATGCATTAGCATTTAATTTCATGTATTGCTTCTGGGCATCACCTGAATACTAACTAACCCATTGGAAGGGGTGTGGTACTGCACAGCTCCAGCAAATCTTTTCTCACTACCTTTTGGCAGCATCAATAATACACATTGTAATGCAAGGGCTTAAAAAAATATTCTTCTTGAAATCAACACCACAAAACACCACCTAATTTATTATCACACAAATTTCCAGAGTAGGAACCTAAAGCAAACTGTAAGTTTTGCATTTTAAGGATTGCCATATTTCATCAATTCTAAGGAGCACACTAATTGCAGTACCACCAACAGAAACAAGCTTTCTTTATATTTGCTTTTTAATATGTTCATATGGGAAAAGGTGCATCTTAGAATTGATGAAAAACAGTAATTTGATTTATTAAATAACAAAAATTGGATATTTCTTAAATCGGGAATTTGCAGCATGTTTCAGAGAATAGATTTCATTCTGTACTTATTTAATGTATTGGCTATACCTTTGAATACCTCGTTGGCAGCTCTTGGTTTCCAGAGATGAGATACTTTTGAAAGTGATATTGAGTTGCCTTTTATATTGTGAAATATTGTTAATTTTACATATTGAAAATGAAAACAGTTACAAAGGAAATTAAACAACTAATAGAAGCTGTAAGGTCAATGAAGAAAGATCTGGTATATTCAGGGCATTGTGATATACACAAACGTACACAGCAATCCAGGCACTTCAGAGTGATTTACATTAGAGAGACAAACACTGTACTGAGGATTCATTGAGAAATCAAATTATTCAGATGCAGGAGGACAAATTAATTTTCATTTTCATGAGTACATTTGCAGCCTATTAGAACGAGACGTAGTAGGAGGTGAATCCAAAAATAGATGGGATGTTAAAATACCTGCTTAAAAATGATGGGCAAAGCCAGTAAAGTATAAGGAATCAGGCTAGAATCATTATACTAGGAAGGAGGGTTGGTTAACTATTTTAACCTTCCCCCTTCCCTCCCCCCTTCAAAATAACCCCCCTTCTGGCTAAGAAAAAATAGTATCATAACCTTATTAGGCTAGCTAAAAAGGCACAGAAATATATACATATATTGTTGTGCTCTTTTTTATTGGACTAATAGACTCCATAGAGCCTTAATATGGATTTAGATCATCAGTACTATATATTTTGTTAAATGGGATAACTGGCACAGAATGCTGTACTAAAATAATTTATCTAAATGTAATTACTTTTTAAAGGGGGAAATTATAACAAGACCCTTATTTTGCTTGAGAGGTACAGGCCTTTTTATTTAGTGTTCTTTTTATTGTATCATTTTTTAAAATTGTGAGTTGCTTTGAGTCTGTCCTGAGAGAAAAGCAGGGTACAAATATGTTGTTGTAGTTGCTGCTGCTGCAGTCTTTTAGTGATTAACTCATTGCTGGTGAGTCTTTTAATGAGAAAATGGGAATCCAGAAAAATTGTTATTTTGTGATATGTGCCTTCAAATCAGCATTGACTGATTGCAACTCTATCCTGGGTTTTACTTAGCAAAATAAATTCAGAGGAGATTTGCCTTTGTCTTTCTCTTGAGGCTGACTTGCCCCAGGTCACTCACGCAGTGGGTTTCCATGTCTGAGCTGGCATTCAAACCCTGGTAACCAGAATGTAGGACTTCTCTACATGGGCTGTATAGTCAACACTGAGTGAAAAGTCACCCCTGGACATCTATAGGAAGTCCAGGAACTTCCAGGCATGAACTTGGGGAGTAAACTGGATTTAATTGGTTTAGCCCTGTGCTATGGAAAGTCGGAGAATACTTCAGAAGCTGGGCAAGCTCTGGAGCAGCCCCATACTCTGAGAACACTGTAGATTGCACAACTGGTTTTGCTATAGACCAGTCCACTATACTCATATGTTGCTGTCACCATCTTGTCACTGCAGGGAAAGAGGGATAGATCAGACCAATATTGCCATCACTGCTGCCCGTCTCCTCCCTGACTACATACTTTCCTCTTCTGATGTCAGCATAGGGCCCTTGCAGCAGCCAGGAGCGCTTTGGCGGTCTAGCAACAGTAACAGAGAATGTAAAGTTTCAGCCCAGCTGAACTGTTTAGATGCTGTTCCGCTGCCCCATATGTTAGGAACAGTACGTGTAGAGATCTAGATAGTCAATGCAGAGTATTACAGCTCCAGACTGGCCCCAGAATAACTGGCTGATGTAGATGAGCCCTTGTTTCAACATTCAAACCACTCCAATGCTCTGGCTCTCAGTTGGAAAAGTAAAAAGTTTTTTAGTCACATTGTGTTTTAAACTCTTTTAAATTAATGCTAAATAGACTCCTTTAACCAATTAAATAATGTAAAAATATTGTTAACCATTTTAGCTGTTATAATTTAAGTTTTATTGATGTCCATTTTGTTATAATTCATGTTGTGAGCAATAGATTCATTTCCACGCTGAGAGAATAGAATATAAATAAAAACAAATAAAAATATAAATAAATAAATCGTTCTTTCAACAAATGCCATAAATATTTACAGGTCTTGAAAAACAAGCAACACCATTGGGAAAACAACACTTAGCATAAATATTGTGTACATAACGTATGAATAATGCCCTGCCCCTTTTTCTTCATTGCTTTTGTTATATGACTGGTAGCATCAGTGAAAATGTCAAGAAATAAAAGCATGCATCAGTGCTTGCTTAGCCTGATGAGATACATGGTCCAAGTGGCCAATGGATACATATTTAGCAGGGTCACCCTATTCAATCAACCCAAATTGCCAAGTGAGCAACTGCTGAGATGGAATGAACTCTTGACTATGGGAATCTGCCTCCTGAGAGCTGCCTAAGCTTCCCTAATACTCGTTAATCCACCTTGATATTGAAACACTAGACATTCTGGCACCCTCCCTCTGATTGCCAAATAAGACAAATAGTTGTTTTAAATGGCTGGGTGCTTCTTTTCTCTTAGGAAAAATCTCATCACGCTTTGTAAAACTTTGTCCAAGTGAATCTTCACTTCTCCATTTGGACTGAAGGAACATACTGATACAAATCTCTCTCTCTCTCTAACCTTGAAAGAAAAATATTATTAGAGGAACATGTCATGTGTACCCCTGCGAAAGGGTTTTTCTTTCTCCAGGAAGAGAAATAGCATTACCAGGAAACTATGGATAAGTTTTTTTGCCCTGTAGCCAAAATATAGAATTAATCTATTTGGTGCATCCCTTCCTCCCCCACTCTGTATGGCTTTGTTTTGTTTCACTGTATTTTCTCAAGTATAATGCACCATCAAATGTCAATTCTGATAGCGTAATTTAGCCTTAAAAGGTGAGCATTCGACTCAAGTAAATATGGCATTTTAGAAGATTTGATTCAAGAGTTTGCTGCCTCAACAAAATTACAAATTGGGTGTCTTCATTCAACAAGAAGAAACCAATGGGGTCATTCATTTGATACTAGCTTCGAGCTGACGTAGGGTACAAGAAAGTGGCCCTTGCCCTGCCTGGTCTGTGAGCTTCTGATGTTATTGATAATGGAATAGTATAGAAGTATTGTAGGGATGTTTGGAGGAATAGGAAACACACAGCAATGGAGAATG